AACGGTGATAAAATCTTCATCAAAACTAATTCTGTCATTAAGGTTTTCGTATTGGGATTTCTTCCGATGACTAAAGTACAGTATTGTTTCTTTCTTTCGACACTGTGTATTACCTTTGGTTGAATGATCGGCTTTGCGGTCAATTGAATTGAGGAGGCAGTTATATGCTTTTCCATTCCTTTCCTCTAGAATGGTGACAAATAGAAGAAAGAGTAAAGGAAAACCAAACAGCTTTGAACAAGCGAAATGTATCTCGTAATCAAAAGAGCGCCATGTTGAATACTTGGTAACCTCTCGTATTTGACTAGGTGACCACGTTTCAAAATGAGAGAAGGAGTGGGGAATCAGCCTCAGTTAATCAGTTAATCTGCTTATACGTACTTTATTTTCCTGCTTATTTTCGCTAATTTGTATTTTTAGTTTATAACTAGTTTTTGTCTGTGTGTTTCTGTGTTGTTGTATGTGTTACCTTAAGAAGTCTTAAGTACCTGACACCGTTAGCCATTACAGTATTTAAAATCCTAAGGATGGCTGTTCTTTTCAATTTTGCCTGGTGGTTATTTTGGGCAGCCATGCACTTTATTTTTTTTTGTTTTATTACTTTTTTGTAATGTAAATTTAATTTAATTCAGGGTGCAAATAAAGTTGTTGTTGTTGTTGTTGTTATTGTCAGCCGTTATTGTTCTGGCCGTAAACGGGACAGAATCAGAAATTCGGTTTGGTTTTTCCTGCGCAGGAAAATGCACAATAGGTGCTACGTAGCAGCTTTTAATTGGCGTAAAGCAAAGTGGTGAACATAGCCTGGGAAAGAGGTTGAATTTTGGCATCGAGTATATTCTGGCTTGAAATGCTGGGTGGTGCAATGCTGTTCAAGGGTCATGTTAAGAATTTAGTGGATCATTTTTATCCAACTGATAGGCTAAAAATGCCTACAGATACACACGCTGTTCGTGATAGACCCACACTAGAGGTCAAGTGTCTACACTTAAGACGTCGAGTGTCGTTTTCGGAATTGGCCAATTCGCAAACTCAAAGATACATGCCAAGGGTGCAAAGAGAACTCAAATGTAAATCTAGTGAACTCAGTTGAATTTGCTATTCTTGTACAAGCAGGTGCTATGTTGAGAACTTGTGTGAAGTTGAAAATATTTAAAGCACCAACCTAATACTGTGAATCGCTTCAATCGTTAACGTACTGATGAAAATCATCAAACGTGGGAATAGTTAAGTTTATTGGCTGATTGATTTAATTCGATTAATTAATTCAATTATCTTATGTAGACATTGGCGATTGGCTCGATCAGTGGATCACTTTAGTGGAAGAAATAACCTTACTTACCTGACAAAAAGTTGTGCCACATATCTTTGATATCAGCGAATCAAAAAATCTTGTGGTCCATAAAATGGCAGAAAATCTCAGAGGTTTGTTATCAGATGTAACCGGGAGAAAACCTTGTAAGCAAAGATTATCGATCGCGTTCAAATGCAAATTTATATTGAGCGACTGTGAGGCGAAACTTGACGTACGAATGAAATATAGGGGAAAGTTGGCTTGTGCAGGCTGAGAAAGATTTGAATCGCAGCGTCAACATTTGACAAACTTTGCAACCGGAAGTTTGATAAACGCAGGATTTTATTTTTTACTGGTTTCGTAGAACGCCTGAGGTATGCGTCTATCATTTTGCGGAGTTGGATGGTTACCATTATTCTAGATTTTTCCATGACTCGAGCAAAGTCACAAAGTGAGACCGAAAAAACCTCGAGACTCTTGTAAGTTCGGCTTAGTTACTTTAATCTTTACAACGCAAGTTTTGATGAAAATAATTTATCTTTTCCTATTAAATAACACATCCTCAGAAAGAGTTCAAGTCTTAGGAACATACCCGCCCAAATTTTGATTTTTCGTGTTAAAAACATAGCCATTTCAAAAGACCTGTGGTTGGAAAGTGGGCTAAAGATTCTACAGGACCACTACCAGCAAGTTGGCAAACATGTTTCATTTCTACATTAGTTATCCACTAGTTGGCCATAGGTATTCTTTGATCAAATTAGCTGTGTCCCTGTCTAGAGTGACATATAAATTCAAATGTTTGTAAACAGTAATTACATTACAATAACCTTGGAGTTAAATGATTCATTACCAGTACGAGTATTTATAAACATTATTCATTGACTATAAACAACTTATTTGATCATCACCGTGGAGCAGTAAGTACATACAATACTGTTCGCTATAATGAAACACTGCCCCGTTTCTTATAGGTATTAAAACCTTTCTTTCAGAAAAGCTGGTCTTTTACCATCCTTTAAGATAGGAAAAAGCAAAATGATTGCACTCGTATGTCTTGAAACGTATTCCTTTTGAACATACAGATAGATTTATGACACCCGAAAAACGTCCAAAGTTTCAGGACTTTCGAGAAACGCACCCCTGCCGCGAAAAGTAAATTTTAAAAGCTTTTACCCGCTTAGCCCGAAAAGCAGATCTTTTGTCAACGTGTTTTTGAAGACCAGAAAAATTATAATAGTTTCATGTCTTCAAATGTTTTCCTTTTGCCATGCGACAGAATTTTTGTCACCCGAAAAGTTTGGCCAGGATTCTGCGGCCCCTCCGGCTAGATGAATCGCCAAAGAATCGTACAACGGAAGTTGCACCGAAAGGTCAGCGTGATTAGCTGTACAGCGGTTTGGTTTAACCTTATTTACTAACTCAGTTGATGGGGCCTCGTTAGGTTGGCTGCCAGCATATTTTTTGTGGCTGCGCTTGAGTAGATCAAAAAATAATAATAATAATAATAATAATAATAATAATAATGATAATAATTAATAATAAAATAAAAGACCAAGGAACAACATAATTAAAAGGAAAGAAACAATTCTACGCTAGATGCTTCAATTGCTGGTCAAGAATGGGTTTTTTCCCACTTAATATGCAATGCCTATTTGATCTTAATTTGGTATTTTGAAGCGGCAGAATCTAAGATCATGAAACATTCAGTATCACAAGAGTCAAGAAAGACCCTTCATGATTGCAGGTGCTTGTAAATATGCGAAGTTTTGTCCGACAAGAGGTGCTCACGAACTCGTGTACAAATGTGGCGAGTGGTCTGACCAATATAACTGACATTACAGCCAGCAGACGAAAATTTATATAAGACACGCGAACGTAGACCCAGCGGCACTGAATCTTTCACACTGAACATGTTTCTGAGTTTAAACGTACTGAAGACTAACTTAACATCTAAATCAGCTCTACAATAACGTTTGAGTAGTTGTCTTAACTTAGTCTGAGCGATGTTCGAAAACCGACCAACATAGGGAAGTTTATAATAGTGCGCAGAAGGTTTACCGGAGTTAGAAGAGGCGTTATGCCCAGTAGGAGAAGCAGGATTATTTTTCTTCGCTAGATACCTGTAAATGATCTTGTCTATGACCCAAGATGGATAACAATTTTTCCGTAGCAAGAAAATAAGTTTCTTGACATCCAGATGAAAACCAGCCCAGGAATTATTGATCTTATATGCTCTGTCAATCAATGTTCTGAACAAAGGGGTGAAGCTGAAATAATTAGTAAGAAGACCAGTTAACGTCTTCTTGCGATATACACAAGTGACGATGGATGTATGACTGTTGTCTAACAATATGTCTAGAAACGATAATTTCTTATTTTCTTATTTTTAGCGTATTTCTTTTAACGTATTTCTTTTAGCGTATTTCTTTCTATGTATTTCTTATTTTCTTATTTTTAGCGTATTTCTTTTAACGTATTTCTTTTAGCGTATTTCTTTCTATGTATTTCTTATTTTCTTATTTTTTTATTTCTTATTTTCTTATTATTTCTTTTATTTATTATTATTTTTTTTACAGTATTATTACGCCTCTTCTAACTCCGGTAAACCTTCTTCGCACTATTATAAACTTCCCTATGTTAGTCGGTTTTCAAACATCGCTCACACTAAGTTAAGACAACTACTCAAACGTTATTGCAACCTGCAACTGCCTTTTTGTGCTCCGCAATTCTGGTCTTTGATGATCTTTCTGTTTGGCCATAGTACTTAAACTTGGTTTTGACTGGTTTTGACTTAAACTCCAAAGTCGCAAGCCATGTCCACCTTTTCGACCATAACATGGATTTCACAAACGTCAGGGTCGTTGGTTTTGAAACTAATTACCACGAGAGACTTTTCCTTCAAGCCTGGCACTCTACTTTGGATCCGAATGCGGGGAACGATCACATCGTACTTCCAGAAGCCTATTAAGACCTCGCGCGAAAGCTAGCGTCACGTTTTTAACTTTAAATAGCGTATGATAACGATCTTCGTTTTTCACATCACTGATGAAGGCTTAGCCGAAACGTCTGTTTCAGAAATAACAACAGTTAGAGGCAACCAATTTCTATAAAATTCTAAACATTTCACCCTCTGATTTTCCGTAATTGCCGATAAATTATACAAATCAATTTTCTTTTCTCAATATATTGTGATAAATTAATTATCAATGAGTGAGGAAAATAAATACACTTTTTCTAACGAATAGCCCTAACCCAGGCTCCATGGCAAACTCTTTAAGAGTTTGTGGGACGTCCAAGTATGCGCCGCTGGATGGGGTTGCATTTTTCACGAATGCGATTGCATTTACAATAAAGTTCATAGAATAGGGTCGCATATTTTCGAGATATGTGGTGGGAAAGTTGTCACCGAAAGCTGGGATCCCGAAAACCACATTAGCCTTTAGGTGACTAACATGAGATCTACAATTGGTCACAGTGGACTGTAATGGAGTAAGGGTTCTGAGCGGCCAGCGACACACACTCCTTAGCAAAAATTGAACCGCCTCCCTTCCCGGGCCTCTTATTTCTATTTAATCCGGACGAATCTAGACCGAAAAAAAACTTGTTTGCAGGATAAAAGCGAGGCTTGTGTTCTAGGCCATGTTTCCTTTTCTTTTCAAAGAACAAAGAAAATTTAAAAAAAAAGGTTTTTTTGATTGTTTATTGCAGTCCTTGTACATATTCAAAGTCCTTGGATAAAATACTTCGCAGTTTAGTATGGTCCTTCACATTCTAGAGAAGCTGTAAACATTACTCCATAATAATACCATCTAAACTACTCAGTGTACAAAGGAACGTTTAAGTTCAAATTGTTAAATTAATATCTACCGAAACTTCTGTTTCCACATAGAAAAAAATACAAAATACGTTTTTTTCTTAGAGTTGTCAATTCTAAAACAACAGATTATACTCTGGACTTAGATTACACTAAAAAAGAGATAATACTCTGAAAAAAAAGACCTTAGCCGTAAAATAATTTCTACCATAAGGAATTTGTGGAGTATTAATTAACTCCGCTCTTAATGAAATCATCAGCTGAAAAAAAAAAATCACAAGTTCGAGTGCAAGCTTTGCCTAAATGATTTTCTAGGGGAAGTATAATTAAACTCATTTGAAAGAGAACACAATAGGTTTTACAACATGACCTGAATCCGCTCAGAGGACTAACAAGATTAACAAGAAAGAGAGCATTTTCAATCAAGCTGTTGAATAAGTACTTTAACACTACTAACAAAAACTATCATCTGCCATTAAAATTAAGCAAACATATTGTCATCTTATTTGTACGTCAAAAGTTCATGCAAGTGTTCAAAAGTTTGTCTTTCGGAAAACAGAGATATTCATAGTCACAAAGATATAATTGAACAACTCAATTCAAAGGCGTATCTGTACCCTATTTTCTGAAATAACTTAACATGAACAAAAGATTATGAAAGTTTAGTACCTTTTTGTCTAACAACTCAGGTCAGTGATCAATTGTTGATGGTGACGTTTTGTCTGTCACACTGAGAGTCGTTTAGAAAACCCTGTTTGATCGACAACCGACGGAGAGTCGATAACGTGAAAAATCCTAACAAACTGTTATCTACCTTATCAAAAAACACGCGTTGAACAATAATTCTATACTTAATAACAATTACATAACTACATGACAAGCGATAGGTAACAGGAGAAGCCAATCCGAGCTCTATGCCTCCGAATTAGTGGTACGAGAAAGTTTCAGGCCTCGTCTGACTTTCCAGTCAGTACCAGTTATCGCTTCAGACAAACACTGTTTGCCCACGTCTGTTACCTTCCTATTTTCTTGGAGGTCTAGGCTCCTTAGTTTGCACTTGACATCAGTTAGGGCTTTGCACAAGTACTTTATTCCTTCATCTCCTATTAAATTACTACGGATTACTAAACTCGTTAAAGTACAGTCTGTGTTAGTTAAAGTTTTAGCTAAGTCCTTTAATACTCTGTCTCCTAATCTGTTAAATGAGACGTCCAAGCTGGTTAAGGTGCAGTTACTGCTGGTCAGAATAGTAAACAAGGGTTTAATTCCTTCATTACCTAACTTATTGTACCTTAAGTTTAAACTGGTTAATGTGCAGTTAGCGCTGATCAGTGCGTCACACAAGTGTTTTAATCCTTCACTTCCAAAGAGATTCCGACAGACGTTCAAACTGGTTAACTTGCAGTTAACACTGGTGAGCACGTGACACAAGTGCATTATACCTTCAACTCCTAACCAATTGCGAATGATGCTTAAGCTGATTAAATTGCTGTCACTTCTCATCAGCGCTTCACACAGGTGTTTTAGTCCTTGAGCCTGTAGAGCATTGTCATACATGGCCAAGCTGTAAAGTTCACCCTGAACTAGAGCTGTACTCAAGTTCTTCAAACCTTCATTAGATAACCGACATCTAGAAAAGAATAATCTGGTTACTTTCCAGTCCCTGTTGGTGATAGCTTTACACAATGTTACCAAATCAGGGTCGCACTCTGTTGGCCACGCCTTCAATATGCCTGAGGCCGAACTGTATATCGATGAAATAAGCATCTTCTCGTGCCAGTCCCACTTTGTTTCACACCAGTCACTTGGTAGTTTGCGTGAGCGAAGTTCATCCGTAAACAGCAGCACCACCTGCCATGCACCTTCTCTGATGTGAATAGTAAGGAAAGTTTTCAATTCGTATTTATCCATTGCTTCTCGTAATTTCTGCACGGCACTGGGCCTTTGGGATACTAAAGATTATAGAAAACAATTATTAATCCTTTACTTGAAAACATTACTGCGAAAAAACAGCCCTTAAATTTTTCTATCTCAAAACTGACATAAAACTACTTAACGAGTAACTTTCACATCAGCATTCTACGTACTTATGGACTCAGTTAGGAGGGTCGTGTCCGTCAAGCTTGATCTTACTCAATCAATCAGATTTTTATTCCATGACTGCCGAACTTCTCCTTTTTCGTTCTTCTCACCAGCCGTACGCTTGGCCGTATAGCTTTTAATGCCCTTGCTTGTGCAACCGCAAAAAGCCCTCATAAAGAGGTTTGTTAATGAATCTTTTTTTTTTTCCTTTAAGGATAGGCATCAGACCGTGTAGGTCATTTGATGATTGTAAAACTGTACCAGATCTACCGAGAAAGAACAAACTCAACGCAAGATCATAATTCTGGCTTTAAAAAAAAATCCCTTGACCATTACATTCCCTTGACCCAGCATTTCTCTGTAATCTTACGAAAGAATATAAATAACTGGAAATATGTTAGAAAACCAATACAAACTGTCAGTTATTTTAACAATATTAAGTACCTTTCCTGCGTAAGCCAAGTTTGGCTGACTCATTTAATAAGTAGCTGGAATAACTCTGGAGTTCCTCGGGTAAACTGACATCAAACTTCGCCAGTCCTGATATAATGGTCGGATACATAGTGTTCTCTAATTCTATCACGAAAGACATAGAAAAGAAATCACAAACCTTTTCAGTATTCAAGGTCATATTCTCAGTTCTGATAAATTATTGGAAAAATAAGGAACTACTCTTAATGACAACGTAAGCGTCAATGTTGTCATTAACTGAGACAGAACATGGACAAGCTAATTTTAAGGGCCTTTTACATGGAGGTGGGGGACTCCAAGTAGGTGAGGTAACCCGCCTAAGTGAAGTAACCTGTCTGTTCAAATAACTTCTTATTTTATCTTTATCACGTCTACATGATAAGTGGGGTGACCCGCTTAAGCAGGTTGCCCGGTCTGCCAGGTAGGATAACCCTATCAGCTGGGGTGACAATTTACCATGTAAACGCCTCAAGGTGGGGTAACCCACCTAGCCGAGGTCACGTTCATGGCAAAAAGCTCAAAAACGAAACAAGCGTGTTTTACAACTTTATACCTTTCCTAGCCTTTCCATTCAGAACTTAAGCCTTGGTCAAACGGCGCATTATAGTCGATGATAGCTGATTCTCTTCAAACTATCATCAACTATCACCAACTATCATTCGCATGGACAAACGGCCAAAAACGTTCGTGATAGTTGATGATGGTTCACCGTCAGTCGCGTGACCAAAGTCACGCGAGCAGCTAGTTCCAGGCTCTTTCCGCGTAAAATGTAAACACTAACCGAATGGCTTCGCGTGAGACAAACAAACTTGTTGAAGTATGAATTTATCACGACGAAAGAGGGCGGCAGCTTGCTTAATAGTAATCGATTTGTTGGAGGAGTGTACGGAGGATGAATCTGGAGAGCGTTGGTGGAAGAGAGGACGGACAAAGGAATGGATTAAAAGGA